TTTTCCTGCCATTTCAGGCAGCCAATCAACCGTTTTCTTAAAAGTAAATACGACCCCTGCGTCCAGCGACACAGTGCGACCACTTCCCCCCCCCCTGCCCCTCCCTCGCTGGGGACCCCCACCCACGTACGACGTGCCACTGATTGGCGGAAAAGTAAAGGACAGCACTTCTATTTCGGATGACGTTATTCCCACTGCACAAGAAGTGGGTATCTTTTCCAAGTACATTAGCGCCATCGCGAAATAATGGGGTTAGAAAGTGAGATTAGTGTAATAATCTTACCTTTCTGAAAGGCATCGCAGACGACAACGCCAGAAATTCGGAATTCGAGGAACTTTATCAATACTGACTTAAAAGCACTCAATATTGGTAGGCAAAAGGCCCTGACTGCCAAGTGAACTATCTCGACGAGTCAAGTAAGAAAAAGTCCATTTTTACTGGATTAGCTATCGCTGTGATACTCGCATTCATTGAGCTCGCATACATAAATTATACTTTATACTTGTCAGACAAAGTCACTGTCGGCTAATTTTTCGTTAATGTTATGTGGCGGAAGTTACTGCAGCCTAAATATTCCAGAAGAGCTCAAAACGAAGATCTTTCAGTTAAGATGGTTAGAAAACACGCGTGAGGAAAAGCGGCAACATAGAACAACTCTGAACAAAACGACTGCCTACGGTTAACAGAACCCGTCTAAACTCGATGTAATAGGATGTTCTTTCCTCTGACTCCTTGCTACTCCTTGTTACAAATTATAGGTCTTCGCTAGCTCTACCACTCTATTCCGCCTACAAAAATAAATACAATATTCATGTCTAATATCAAAGTGGATCTCGTCATTCAACGGTCTTCTCGATATTCCCAGCACTTTTCTCATCAAATGATTCTAGAACAACGGTAGGTATAGCAACATCAAATGTCGACCCATTCGGCCGTTCCATTTTGAATCGGCCCCTAAAAAATCAAAATATCGAGACAGTGAAACTGGTTAAGGAGGGAGTTACCTACCACATGTGTCCTCCTTTAGAGTGAGCCAGTTCAACGGTACTGCTGAACTGGAACGCTGGAGTTTGGACATTTAGTTCAGGTTGCTGAAACATGGTAACGTAACATCAAACCGAAACGAGATACCTTCAGCTTTTTCGCTGCCAGTGAGGGCGGGCGGGTGTCAGTGGGCTTGCTCGTTTCGCGTGCCGAAGCTCTTTCTCGACCGACTGCTGAAGCGGGAAAGCCACAACAACGGGTGGGAAACGCAGTGGCGTCACGATGACACAGCCTGCCGGACACGTCCCATCACCCACTGGGAAAACAACTATACATGCAAACTAGAACTCGTAAAAAGTGATGAAAATCGAAAGGTTAAAAAAGTAAAGCCAAGCATCAACGAAAAGTTTTAAATAACAGCAAAGCCGAACGTTACCTTTCCGACCACTCCATGCCCATGCATCTGATTCATGTTGTTAAGGGAGTAAACCTTTAAGGAACGTTCGCGAAGTATAACTGAGTTCTGCGGAGAGTGGTTCTCAGCCTGAATGGAAAAAAAATCACGAACAGACGTCATAAACCGTTGGCCCGCTAATATGCCTCGAATGATTGCACCGATAACTAATCACTGATCGAAAATGCCCGTACCTGATGACATATCGCCATATATGCCTCAGTTGTCCAGCACTCATACTGCTCCCGAGGTAGAATGTAGTCACTGTCACCTCGATGTTTTCTGTGACCTCCCTAAACATAATCCAGATGAATGTAACATTGCAAATGTCTTTGAAATATCTTAATGCGAAAAACGAGAGTAAAAAGGATTAGATAGGAAATACAATGAAAACCTGTAGACATCTCTTGGTGCCAGCCATGACCTTTGCGATGCCATATAATTTTCAAAAAGGTTGGTTTTCATAGTTATTTTAACCTCCTTGCCTAAACAGTGAAAATGTATCAGCTTTGTGCTAGGCAAATCAAATTAATTATATCAACTAGTAAGTTTCGGACGAAGCTCAGCAATTTTGAAAACAACAAAACTATACTGTAGTTTCATTTGCCGGCGAGGAAATCGGTTGGCGTGCTCGTTGCGCTGCGTTTGGCGTCAGTGCCAAACTGTTGTTCTCATTTGAGTTGTACAGCCGAGCAAATAAAAAATACTTGTATCATACCCTTCGTCGTTAACCTGTTTCTGATGTTTTTTGTTCGCTTTTTTCAAAAAAGAAGGCCAGAGAACAGCTCGCAAAGAGGGGGTGAACACTCTTCTGGTGGACGCCCAACCGCCCGCAAGCGAAGTAGAGTGTAATATTTACACTATAGTTCTCCGCGGACGGTTGGGCGTGTCAGCCAGTGTGAGTGTGTCACCCTATCAAAGCCGTTCTCTGCCTTCTTGTTGAAAAGCGCATGCGACAAAAAGTGGTAGAAAACGAGTAATACGAAGGCATATGATACAGTATTGTCACTTGCCTGCTTCAACAACTGGTGTAGAACGAGTTTGGCACCGCGCCCAAACGGGCCGCACTTTACACGCCCAACGTCGCCGCGAGCCGAACTCACGTATATTTTCGGTTGTTGTTTTCATTAAGTTCACCTATCACAATAGTAGTTTTCATCCTGGAGAGAGACGGCACGCGAGTGACATGACTGTGTGCTCGTCTGCACCCTCTCACAAAATACCGGCTCCGTGTACAACTCACCCGTGCGCGTATGCGGCGCGGTTTCTTCACGGCACCGCGGCGACGGGCGGGAAGGGTGATCGCTTGCGCCTCCGCCACTGTGCTCAATCAGAAGCCCCTTTGTGCCCCATTATGTGGAAGGAGGGAGGAGAGAAAAAGAGGATTGAACAAAACAGTGAACGCTCATAGGTGAGTTAGTGGTAATGGTGAGCAGAGAATAGCAGAGAAAAAAAGTGGAGAATCAGAGCGTATTATTTCAGTCACCAGCGTAACTGGCAGAATGATTCCCTTCGAATGGGACGCGACGTTATAGCGCAATAAGGTCACAACCCACCGTTTCCAATTTGCCAAACCTCAGCTTGAACTTTCCGTGTAAAAGCTGCTTGCGTCGTTTTCACAGTCGAAAGGAACTATGCGTGTCGACTTTTCTGTGATCTCCTACCACTAACTCACATATGCACCCACTATCTGTTCAATTCCCTTCCTCTCTCTACTTTTCCCTCCTCTTCCTTCCACATAAAAGAGGCTGCTGGATTGGAGCACAGCGCCGGAGACGCGGGCCATCGCCTTTCGCTCCACCCTGCCACCGCGACGCATATTGGCAGAGAGAGTTTTCCCTCCTCAGTCAAAATACCCATATTCCAGTCGCCTCTTCCAAACATGATATACGGAGATATTACCTTCTGGCGATTCCATTACATCGAATATCCGGTGAAACAAATCGTGATCTAACGGTTCCCGATCAAGAGCGTTGAACGGAAGAATATCGCTATGTGAAACGCAATCCATACCACTGTAACGTTTCAATGTAAGATAAGAGTTACATACATTGCTTTACTCAGGCACTATAACTTACTTGATAAGTGTGAGAAGCTTTTCACCACGACTTGTGCCGTCCATTAAATATGAGGTAAGATCAACTGGAAAACCCATATGACTCCAATCACCTCGATCAATCAATACTTGATAATACCGTCCTTGTGAAACAGTACGATCACTGAAAACACCGCTGTTTTTCCAGACAAGGCATAAATTTTTGGAATATAACACTAACCTGGTACTGCTTTTCTTTTCTTGGAATCTGCATTTGAAAGCGCAAACGACAACTCCTTTGTAAGCAAAAGCCTTGTGAATGAAAAGCTGCAAGGGGAAATAGGTAATGTTTAGAGGACTTAGCAGCGCAACAAAGAAAAGAAAAGAAATACACGAGAAATCTGTAAGTAAAAGAGCACCTGTCCAGGATCGTATAAGGCATCTGACGTTATCGGTGCTACAAATCTGCCAATCTCCTTGTTGCTGGAGACCGGATTACTGGAACGGAACCTGTAATTGTTTCTCCCATCTATACTAGACACAGGCATGCAGAGGGATAGCTCTAATTGTTAAACACTAACATTTAACAGTACACGAACACTTAGTAGCACTGTACTATGTTAAGCTTATTAAGAACAAATATAGGTAAGTAATTTGCACTTTGAAGTACGGCACAATCGCGTCTTAAGACGAAGCGGACAACTTCCCTATCGAAAGTCCGAATCGCCAAAGCCAGAGGAAGCAACAGTAAGGCAAATGAGGCAGTTCTATCAAGCAGTAAAACGTAGGACAAACTAAAAATGAGGGACAACGAAGCACATCGTTGTGAACCAAGTACTGAAAGTCACGTCCCGCGTTCGCTGCTGTGTGGACGAGGTGCTTGCACAAGCTATCCGCAAGCAGATAGGATGCATCAAAGTCGCGACCAAAGAATATGTCATAACTATGTCACTAGCCAAGGCAAGGCTCCGCCTCACTACCCCGTACCACGCCCAACGTTCGTTTCTATCGGTCATCTGATAGCAAGGCTGTGCGGCCACTACCACTTTGAATTCCTAATGTGGGGTGAAACGATAAGGGACAGAGCTTCTATATCTGTGCTACGGCTATGTGACAAGATAATCATAATTCGCCGCGCTGGTGGGCGTACGACGTCGCGCCGCAATGATCTTTCTATGCCGCAGACTGAGACAGTAGACGATATATAATTAAAAATAGCCATAAATAT